AAGCAGAGGCTGGCATGAGTTGAAGTGCAATCCAAGTCTCTTATACACATCTAGATGTGTATAAGAGACAGCTCTCTCTCTCTCTCTCTCTCTCTCTCTCTCTCTCTCTCTCTCTCTCAGGACGTATCAATCACTGTTGCTGCCGCTCCTTGATTACTGCCCCTCTACCACACTTTTCCGTTGCAGAAGCTGCAACACGCAAGCGCTTACGCTCATGCAGTGCCAAGTTTTCGTCCGAGTCGTAGTCATTTGTAGCATCCACTGCCGGGGCCTTGCCTTTCACATGTTCGTCCGGCAGCTGTGCACATACAAGATCAGGATCAATTGTGGGAGGTACTGCAGTGGGAGATTTGCGTTTGGTCCCACTCCCTTTTGGCCTCCCCCGCTTTTTTGGTTATTCACCACGACCTGCAGCAACAGCAACTGCTTCCTGTGCGCCTCGGCCTCCACCTCGACCCCTGTCACGCCCTGTTCTGTGAGCAACAGGGTTCCACAACCTGCTGGGGTGTGATGCTCTCCCCAACAGGCCTTGCGAGGAGCTAGGACGTAAAGTATGTGTTTCAACGCGTCGGTGATCCTCCGCCTCCGGATTTGGTCTGTCTGCTCTAGCGCTTGGGGGGCTTGAACCATAAAACCCAGAGATGCCACCCACCTGAAGTGGCAGGGTTTGCGGCTCGTGCGGTTGCTGCTCCTGCTCATGCACCCCCTGCTGCAATTGTTGCTGCTCCTCCAATAGGTGCGGCTGTTGATCTCGCTACTGTTGCTGTTGCTGCCGCTCGCGTTGCCTTTGATGTTGTTTCTGGTGCTGCATCTCTGTTGGTGTTGTTGCTACTTCTACTCTTGTTGTTGTTCTTGCTACTTCCGCTGCTGTGCTTTCTGTTGTTGTTGTTGCTGCTTCTGTTGTTGATGGTGGTGCTGCTGCTGTTGTGGATATTGCTACTGCTGCTGCTGCTGCTATTGATGATGTTGCTGCTATTGATGCCGCTGGTGCTGCTCCCGATGTTGTTGCAGCTGCTGATGTTGTTGCGCTTGTTGCCATTGTTTCTGCTGCTATTGTTCTTGCTGGTGGCGCTCCTTCTGATGCTGTTGTTGCTACTATCGCTGTTGTTGTTGCTGCTGGTGCAGTTGCGCTTATTGCGGCTACTGCTGTTGCTGTTGCTGTTGTCGCTGCTGTTGCTACTGCCGGTGCAGTTGCGCTTCTTGCCATTGTTGCTGCTGCTGTTAGTGCTACTATCGTCGCTGTTGCTGACGCTGCTGCTCTTGTTGTTGTTGGTGCTGGTGCTGTTGTTGGTGCTGCCACTTCTGCTTGTTGTTGTTGCCGTTGCTGTTGCGGGAAATCTTGTCGCTGCTCCTCCAATCGTGCACTTCTACGTGTGCCCTCTTTGTATGGAAGAATGTGCTCCCTCCTTGTCCACGACTCGTCTGAGTCAGATTTGTCAGACCTCCACATGTCTTCTAGTTCCTCTTCCTCGTCGGATGATTCTGACGATGACTCATCGTTCCAATCCCCCTCCTCCCACTCCCTTTCTATGACTCTCTGTGCCATAGCTGTTCCACCGCCCCCTCATGTGGGTCGTGCCACAGATGTTGATCCAATTGCTGACGTAGTTCTACCAGTGCATTTATTCGCCATTGCAGTTTCATCCTCCTCATCGTCTGCGTTCGTCTTAGCATTAATCAAGCCCAACCAACCACTATTATTCGTCCTTCCTTCGTATCGAAGGTTCCAGTGGAGGTACACCAATTTCTCCACTCTCTCGTGCTCCAGCTTGTTGCGATCCTTGGTATACACAAGAGCCCATGTGCTCCAATTCCTCTCTGCAGGGGAGGAGGCTGTCCACATGCTGAGTATTCGCAGTGCCAACCGCTGCAAAGTTGGGTGTCCTCTCCCGTGATCCTCCCACCAATCCAATGCACTGTCCAACCTTCCACGACGCTGCACCTCTGGATCTCCAAAGATTCCTTGCTCCCTTTGGAACGCGTACAAGGAGTTAATGCACTCCTGGTACTGCAGTGTCCCCCGAGCGCCTACGAGATGCTCCACAACACCCCGAAATTGGGTCATGAATGTGAGATCGCTGAATACTCCTCTGTCACGCAAATTGGGGTCAAGCAATCTCGCAATTGCGAGCACAGGGTCGAGGAGCTGATCCGTCTTGTTCGACACGACCTTCAACACTTCAACACATTGTCCCTCTGTCAACGGAGCTGCAAGCACACAATTCTTCAACGCCACTGCTGCGTCATAAACACGGGAGTGCACATCACGATCAACCATCCGCAATATCGAGAACACCCCCTCCGTCAAATTGAACATCATTCGATCATCATTCCAAAAATTTGTAGACTGCACCAATCTCTCAACAAGCAACACCTTATCCCGAATGGCGTACGACCATTGCATCTCTTCCCACTCCATGCTGTTGACTGTGTCTTTCACTCACGCCTCTTTCTCCTTCAACCGTTCAAGCATGATGAAGTTTGTCCCAAATCTTGTTGCTTGTAGCCTCTTTAGGACAGTCTTGCCATGCCCAAAAAGCATCTCCCGTGGGGCGCTGTGAATCCTGAAGAACTTGACGGCTTCATTTGCTTCGTCAAGGATCTTCTTTGCCCATGTCATCCCCCCGAAGTCGTGAAGGAACAAATCCATGCAGTGTGCAGTGCACGGGATTCAGTAGATATGTGCAAACTTCGGATCCTTACCCAAGGCCTCTGCAGCTGCCTTGTTTGAAGCGAAGGAGTCAGTGCAAATAGCTGTCACCTTCCTGTTCTCCCTTAGGAACGTCTTCCACGACTCAAGCATTGTAGCAGAGTTCTTGTCTTTTCTCTTGACATGATCACATTTGATGAAGACTCGTCTGTCTCTCCCTGCGAGGATGTAGTTCAACAGAGAGCGACCGCATATGTTAGTGGTGCCATCTGTGATGAGTGTACATCCCGTCTTCTCCCAGTCAACCTGTAGTTTAGCCTCTCACTCCAAGTACGTCTGTTTCCTGGAGTCCAGGAGTTATTCCCGTAGTGCGTTATACGAGACATGCTTCAATGGACATCGAGTTGCGGATTGTGGCCCAAAGCACAGTTCACAAAACATTTTCCAACTGCTGCTCTTCGCCACATTGAATGGTATGGCATTTTGTGCGAAGAGGTCCATGGCAGCTAAGTCAATTTCCCGCTGGCGCGGGTTGCGGACATATCGATCTATAGGCATCTGCCTTTGTCTCCTCGCTGGTGCTGATCTGCATGTGACCTCTGTCATAGTTGCACCTGTCATTGCCGGTGCCTCTTCCCGCTGTTCCACACCTGGTCCGCCACCCACGTCATCAGCGGCACAAATGGCAGGAAGAGGGAGATTTGGAACGGTCTGTGCTGCAGCCTCATCCTCCCGCTGCAACATCTCCTCGACGTCAAGTGGCAAYTCCACATTCGCAGCACGCARCCTCCTGTAGATAGCTATGGTGGCATTCGGGCACCGCAACGCCGGCCTCTTCTTCGTGAAGTGTTCAAGCCCTCGTGCGCGGTTGCCTGGGAACACAAGTCCACACAAAAGGCACTTCATCTGCTTCCCGCCATGACTTTTCGCCCCTGTTGACCTTCCGCGTGCCAACCAATTCCACACGCAGTGGTCTCCCGACTTCCATGCGTGTTTCGGGTCCTCAAGGAACTCCCCTGTTCCTCTTCCCGTTGCACGCTCTTCGCCCGCAGATGCTGATGCCCCTTCCATTGCTAAAAGTGCACACAAGCTTTTGCCCGACACCTCTGCTGCTGCCACAAGTTATCACAAACTGTTGTGGTGGTTTTTACTGCAACAACTGGCGTTGCAGCTAGGGCTTCTGCTGCAACTGTTGATGCAAGTGTTGCTGCACAAGATGTTGCAACAGACGTTGTGATATGGAACGTCACAGCCCCTGGTGCCCCCGTGCTCTCTCTCTCTCTCTCTCTCTCTCTCTCTCTCTCTCTCTCTCTCTCTCTCTCTCTCTCTCACACACACACACACACACACACATACACACAGCTGTGGTTGTTGCTTGCAACTGTCGCTGCAAGTTATGGAGGAACTGTTGTTGCACTCGCTGCTGCAACAAATGCTGCTGCAACTTGCAAGTGTTACAGCAACGCAGCTGCACATACATGACAGCTACACTGCCTGAGCACGTGGCAGGCCTCCTACTGACATCAGAGGCCTTTGTGGTGAAAGATCTGCCATGACCTGCATAGATTGAAAAAAGATGTGCAAATAGGTTGGTTGTCAGATTCACAGATTGATTGATTGATGGATTGGTTAATGTAAATCGGTTGATTGGTTGATTGAGTGGCTTGGTGGATTGATGGCTTGGCCCTACGATTGAAACAGAACTACCAAACCACCAATCCCAATATCGGATTATAAAGTTAAGCTAGGCTATAAAATGCTGTTAAAAGCAAAGGACCCAGACCCAATCATCACAGGATGATGGCACAAGTTAATTGGTTCTGAGACAGACCCGGTAGCAAAAATTCCGTGGAAGAAATATAAAACGATAAGACCCATACAAATCAGAAGCATGCAGTGGCTCATAACGTACGTTGCTCTACCGGTTAACCGGTGGTTACATGTTAGAAGAAGAAAGAAGGATCCAACCAGCGCTGGTGTTTGCACACTGTGTGCACAGCCTGCTTAGACCAAGAGCAGGAAGATTTGATACACAGCCTAATTAACTGCAAAAAAGCCACATATTATTGGGCAAGAGCAACAGCCCTATGGGATACTCTATTCTCGTCTCCCCTCCCAGAACACCCCTTTCAACTGCTCCTCTGAACTCTAGGGCCCTCTAACTTTGACAAGTCGGAGAAAATCTGGTTCGGTATGGTACTCAAGGTTACGCTCTGGGCAATATGGAAAGAGAGATGCAACAAAACTTTGAATGGCACGAAGAATCCACGGGAGAAAGTGTGGGCAGCAACAAAAGAGATGATTGAAGCGGAAATCCTGTGTCATTGGAGGAAGGTCAAACTGTGGATGCAAAACAGTCCGGAAACAGAACAGGTGACACTTGCCAAATTCAAACGGGTCTGGTTGGTAGGTGGCCGAAAAGCCTTCCACGATTCAGACCCCAAATTCAGGTCATAGGGTCAGAGGCCCTGGTCAAGAAAGGCCGAATTCGTCAAATTCAGAAAAGTCACAGTCAGGTACCTCAGCAGTCCAGTCCAACAGACACCCAGTAAACAGACACATCTCCGGGGCAAAAATCATGTCCCATAATGAAAAGGTACATTGAAAAGTCACATCCCACGAGTGAAAGGAAAGTCCCATAAGCAAGAGTCGTGTCTCAGAGGCATGAGTCACAATCCACAGTCCAATCCATATGCCAAACTCGAAAATTCACGACTCAAAGGCCCAAGCAGCAGCAGACCAATGAAAATTCGGGAAGGTTCCAGGCCTTGACACTCAGAAGCAGACAGGCCGTGGGAATGTGGTACTGGAACTCAGTCAGACCCAGGAAGCAGAGGCTGGCAYGAGTTGAAGTGCAATCCAAGACTACAAAAGGACTGGCCAGCCKCCCATTCGGGYAGATTGCTCATTTGSAAGTAGTGTGGAAGTGCTGGTGCACTTGTGCGCTAAAGTGAGGGCAGAGCRCTGAVGCCAGAGTGCTGTGCTAAGAGAGGGAGAGAGAGGAAGAGGATGCRCTGGCAGGAAGAAGGCAGCCATAGCTGCACTAGCGCTTAGTGATAGTGATAGTTAGTAGGGAGTTAGTAGACTAGCAGTGGATGTATCCAGAGTAGATCCTTGAGTAGAGGCTAGTGAGTGTGCATGCATGMAGGGAGAGAASACACAGTGAGAAGTAGATAGGAGAGAAGACACAGCGAGGTTATRGCCAGAGAGAAAGAAGAGCAAGGAGGAGAAGATACTTACCTTTGAGCTGATGCTGGTAACTGGTTACCTTTTTGTACGCGCTGATGAGCGCTGKCGACCTGAACTYTTWTTGGTCWTGTAATAACTTGTTGAAACTCAGAAGCTGCGCTGCCTGGTCTTTATCTCTCTGGTCTCCAGTGTGAAATTTCGTGTGATTTCATACATGCATGTGGTATATATCTGCGCACTCATTGAGTCATTGGTGATGAACGGTGTGGTTCATAGCAGTGGCAAAGTGGCATGGCTAAATGGGCAGGTTTTAAGATGGAAATAGTGGCATAATACGGTCAAGTCTGTTTCTCAGCGGAATACATAGTGCAATCAAACTCACTTTCACTTCCACTTCGCACACATGCAAACAGATGGAGATTCACACTGGCGTCGGGCGCCCACTCAAAGCTTAGAGATATGGAAATCAAGAACACAGTTCATATGCAAGTTCAATGTAACAGGCTATCGCGCATCGACACCTAAACATCCCAACCTTCGTCACTGTGTCCAACTCCACTGTTCACACACGCTCACTCTGGATCACCCTGAATACCACCAAACACGCATGCTAAGTCTAACTTCCTCCTACAGCGGCTATGGCTGCACTACCACTACTGACTATGGGTACGATCTCCCTTCAGGGCCTTCACCCCACTACGTCCTCGGGCAACCTGCAGACCACCTTCGCACAAGACGCTGTAGCAGTGCATCCACACGGCTTACGCAGCAAATGAATGAATGGCTGGGCGCTGCCTCTTGATTTATACTTCTGTAACTCGTTGGTCTGCCTCTTTCCCAGGCCCTTGGTGTACACAGTCCCACACGGTACTTGCTTGAGTGGATTCTGACTTACTGGGACCGATACCGCTGACTGCATGGGTTTGCGCTGCCAACTTGATGCAGTCGCACTGCCGACGTAGCGCAGTTGGGCTCACCACTTGCCCACTTGCCTCTGACTAAAACGTGAGACACTTCAAAAGGCCACATCTGGACCTTCCGGGAGCCTGTGGATTTGGCCTTTCGGGAACTGTAGAAGCTACGACCTTGTAGCAGCTACGACCTTGACCTTTCAGAGCATCTACAGCCACGACCTCTACAGAGCTGCGACTCCTAATCGACAGACCTACAGATCAAACCCCTACCGCTACATAGGCCTACGACAGACGCCAAACAGCTACCGAAACACAGATCACGGGTTCAAACACTCAGGGGTCGACTCAATACTGTACGTGGGCAAAGTGAGGTCTGGGGATCGAACTCTAGGGCCCGCATCCGTGACTGGAGAAACTTTAAGGTGAAAACCGTTTCAATAGGTACACGAGGAACCAACTCCGATTTGGGCCTAGAAGAGCGTCCTAGACCTGGCCTTCCTTGACCTCGGACCTTGACCCTGGAATTCGAATTTGGGGTCTGCCTCATGGTTTGCCTCTCAATTAATTGATTAAAAAAAAAAAAGAAAAAAAAAAAGGAAAGGGCGAGAAAAAGAGAGACAGAGAGAGAGAGAGAGGAGAGTCCTGACCCTCCACGACCCTCTCTCTCTCTCTCTCAATCAATCAATCAATCAATAATTGACCTTGATTGATTGATTGATAAAAAAAAACAAAAGAAAAAAACGAAAGGAGAGCGAGAGAGAGAGAGCGGCTGGGCACACACACAATTCGACTAGCTCACTTCTTGGGCGACATGCTGCTAGACCAGCACCGCACGCGACAGCGCTGCGCTGCGTTAGAGGTAGAGGAATAGGTAGGGAGACACGGTGGAGGCCATACCTGCAGCGTTCGAGTACGTACCTGGGCACTATAGCTGGACTTGGCTCCAACGACCTGCAGCACAGCGTACGCTGACCGACGACGTCAGTACTTGGCAACAGTTACCTGCAAGTGAGACAGTGAGGAGGACGACATCATCTTCTTCTTCTTCTATCTGTTCTGTTCTCGCCCTCCACCTCTTCTTCTTCCTTCCTTCTTCTTCTTCTTCTTCTTCTTCTTCTTCTTCTTTCAGAGAGAGAGAGAGAGAGAGAGAGAGAGAGAGGGAGAGAGAGAGAGAGAGTTCAGGCAGAGGTTTCACGGGTATATGCCCAGGATCTGATTCAACATTCTTTTGGCAGACATTGATTGGACACTTGGCCAGTGATTATTTTTTTGGACTTCGCTATCGCGATCTTGGTCTTCTCCCTCGCCTCCATCTTCGTCTCGCCTCCCCCCATCTCTCGTCCGTGGTATCTCCCCCCATGTGCGTGTGCAAGGAGGGACCTTTCTTCTATGTATGCGGTCCCTCCTCTCTCACACACATGTGGTGCATGATGGGGTGTTGCATCAGTATCTGACAGGTCAGATCATATCTTGAGTCTTCCGTTGCGCGATATTGTGCTATTTCCATATGTATCTGAATGTACATTGCTGGTTGATGCTTGGCTGACACTGCATTGTTCATACGAGTCCTTTTCATCACTTTGATCCTTGGCTCCCATACATCGCCCGATTGGGCATGTATCACTCTCTCTCTCTCCAACCCCTTCCCTACCCCTCCACCGTCATCCTCTCTATCTGCTCTGCGTTTCTCCCCTCCCCCTCCWCCTCTCCCYYGACCCCGGCTCCGACACCGATCCTGCCCCTCTCTCTCCCGACCAGGARCCCAGACCCCGAACCCACCCCTCCCGACCACGAACCCGGACCCSGAACCCAGCCCTCACTCTCTCCAGCCTGAMTGATTGATTGATTGATCGAATCAATCAATCAATCAATCAAKCAAKCAAGCAAKCAAGCAAKCAAGCAAGCAAGCAATSCAACTACCTGCCAAAGATGGGTGGCAGGTAGTTACCTTGATTGATTGATTGACTGACTCAGTCTGACTGATTGATTGATTGATTGAATTACAGGTATAAAAAAAAAAAAAAAAGACTGGAGAAAACGGGAAAGATGAGCAAGATGGGAAGCATGAGCTGGGATGACGAGCCTCATGGTCAAAAGAAGAAGATGAAGGTTTTGGAGAAGG